TGCAATCGCAAAAAGAGATCTCAGAAAGACACTAATTCACGTATTCAGGGTGTCTATTTTTATGTGATACTGAGTGTCTGTGCGTGCCGATCTTAAGCGCCTCTTAAGAGGTTACGGCGGGTTTATGAAGATGACGCCACGCGATAAAGTATTTCCTGAAGTCTGCAGTATTCCTTCTAGGCGACACGGTTTCGTTACGATCATATCACGTGACTGGCCTTCTTAGTGCAGGCCTCCCTTGCCTGTAGATCCTCTGGCCTCTTAAGGAACAGCTGATGAAACGACTACATTTCAGTTTCATTGGCTCTTGTTCAATTTGAAGATCTACCTAAATTACCATTTTACCTGATGTTTCACATGCATATAGAACGTGAACTGACTTCTCTGCGATGAAATTGTGAGGAAAGTTTATGGACCCAAGAGAGATTAGGACTAAATGTAAATTACACGTAAGAGACTTCATAATTTATAAGCTCCAGTCAATATTGTTAAAAACATGTCACGTGTTAATCACTCTCGACGGGATTTTGGATTGCTTGAAATGGCGTTTCAGGAAGATAGAAAGGCCAGTCATGTCAGGTTCAGGGTTAGAGGGAGTACAATACACGTCATACAGTAAACTCTGGGTTTTACCTCTTGTCACAATCACAACAATTACTCTTCACTTTTAATGAGAAAGAACTGTCGCCAATTTGGTGTGTTTCTGAGTAACATTGGACACTATGCTACAAGCCGGAAGGTTGGGGGATCGAATTCCGATGAGGTGGATTATTTTAATTTACATAATCCTTCCAGCCGCGCAATGGCACTGGGGTCGACTAAGCCTCTAACAGAAATGAGTACCAGGAATTTTCCTGGGGGGCAAAGGGCGGCCGGCGTGTAAGGCTGATAACCTCATCACCATCTGTGAGCCGATTGTATAGAAAATATGGGAGCCTCAACATCTCACAACCCTATGGGCCTTCACGGCCTGTTACAGGGAAACCTTTACTTACTTGCTTTACTTCTGAGCAAGATAAATACGCAAGTGTGTTCATATCTGGACCAGAAGTCAGTAAAGTGGCCTGAAGACGGGACTCAGAAATGTCTCTCCGCTACCACGAGCAGACCAGCTCTTGGGGTTCATACTGCTTCGTGTCCAGGGATTTCCGTGGTAGATGTTGCTCCGGCCAGAGTGACCAGGCTTAGAATACGCTGGAATTTACCTCTGCAACACATATACGGATTCATGGCGTGAAAGTTAGGCACAGGGACAAATTCATCCGTGACTGTGGTTCCTAAACACAGTACGTAATTCTCTTCTGATCTACATTTGCTTCCTCGAGACAGAAAAGTACAATTATGAAGTCGCAAAGCTGTCTTTGTGTCTCCCCCATGTAAATGTTTGAACCGATTCACGAATTTTCACAGAATTTTGTATGTACATTATACTATTAGAGACCATGTAGTAAAAAACTCTGTGGCTTTTAGTCCGTAAGCGAACTATACTAACCGAGCGACCGTCGCTTGTCGGCGAAGTTAGTGCCAAATTTAGCGGGCAGAGGGTGTCGCGTGGTCAGTGCAACGGATCCCCACGGTCGTTAATCTCGGTTTTCTAGACCGGAGCCGCTATTTCCTTGAAATAACTCCTCAATTATCCTCACGAGGCAGAGTGGACCCATTTCCAGACCCACTACTTCTCAGAAAATCTGGTAGCGATGGGAATCGAACCCGTGACCTCTGAATCTGTAGCCAGGAACTCTGACCACTAAACCACAGGGGCGGTCTCCCTATATCGTAGCCTCATAAAATCGACACCAGCGTCACTTAATCTGGGACCCTGAAGTTCTGCATGGCAATAGCCTTAGATTTATTTAATTGCGCTATCAAAATCGTAGACCACAAAGCGTCAAATGGAAAGATGTTTGTGAATTGGGAAGAATGTGGAAGGACGCATTCGTAATGATATGTAAGGTTCCAGAATTTTCCGGGAAACATTCCAATAAACCACGAAAATACTCAATCATGATAGTCGGTGTTACAGTCAAGAATCGAATTGGGAATCTCTCGAATCCAAGTCGAAAGCATCACCGCTTCAGTCAGCTTGGTAATAGATCTTCGAATCACACGCAACTTTTGTCTAGGTAATTCTTGTTTTCGGAATGTAAAATGGCAAATGCCGGTCACGGTAGCCGAGCGGTCTAAGACTCTAAGGCGTGTACTGTCTTCGCTCGCTCGGAAACCGGGACCGTGGGTTCGATCTGTTTCCTGTGAGGTACGAACTGAATTCTTATATATTATTCTTATACACTGCCGGTCACGGTAGCCGAGCGGTCTAAGGCATGTACTGTCTTCGCTCGCTCGGAAGCCGGGATCGTAGGTTCGGATCTGTTTCCTGTGAGGTACGAACTGAATTCTTATATATTATTCTTATACANTGGCAAATTGGTGGTTGCATAAAATTTTCATTTATCTTTCGGTGTGATTGCGATAATCAATGGACCAGCCGAGAAAAACTTCCTTTAATGTCTAAACACTTATCATATTATCGTTCCCTGTTTGGGTTTATTTATTTCCTTATTTGTTTGATTTTTAATTCCATGCTTCAGAAGTGAACTATGATAAGGAGATGAAGCGTAAATATACCTAGGTTTACACATTACTTATGAGATGCTATTTGCATAAGCCAGAAATTGCAAACATGGCGATAATGCGAAATTTCGAGGTTAGGTCAAACACATCTGTACTTCAACAACAATCCCCCCCCAAAGAGGGATTACTATCTAAGCTAACTAAACCAACTAACTAACTAATTAACTATATGGAGCTGAGCCCTTCTTGAGAAGTCGCCAGTCGTGCAGCTACTCAAGAATTTCCCAGCATTTTATGGAACCCGTAACTTCTTTACCGTGTCCAGAAGAACCCACTCGTCCCTATCCTGAGCCAGATAAATTCAGCCCATACCACCCCATCCTATCTCTCTAAGGTCCATTTTAATATTAACAAACCACCTACATCTTGGTCTTCCCAGTGGTCTCTTTCCTTCTGGTTTCCCCACCAATATCCTATATGCATTCCTCGGCGCTCCATTCGTACTACATCCCCTGTCCATCTCATCCTCTTTGACTTGATCATTCTACTTATACTTGGCTTTCATTAATTAATATAAGCTGCATTTGAGATCATAATAAGTACTGATTATGATACTAGATATATTAGGCTGCTGAACGCAGCAAGGCACTAATGGTTCACGATTCTATCAACCATAGAATTGGCTCCTACCTTAGGTATTTGAAATATGGTGCCTTTACCGTAATGCATCTAACATTATCAGTTCGCGGGAAATGCTTATGGTCTTTTAGTAGAAAATGAAGGAAAAAGGACATTTGGAAGAACCCAGAAATGACGGGAGGATAACAATAGAATTGATCTTAGAAAATAGGGCGCGAAAGGATTAACTGAATCCAGGTGGCTTAGGGCAAGGTCCAAGGGCGAGCTTGCATGAACAACGTCATGAATTTGCCGGGGAATTTCTTCACCAGCTGTGTAACAATGGAGTCAGTTAACGTTAACAAAAGCGAACAGCATAATGCTGAATTTCCTCTGTTGCCGCATCTACCTACATTTTGTGAATGGCTTGATGAGAACCACTTTTTTATAAGAAATATTACGTCATGGGTTAACAATGACATCATAGCTAATTGCTGAAGCCTCAAAGTCACCACTGTGCGATTTGGCGGTCATAGTGTGGAAAGCAGCGAGGCACATTGCAATTTGTATCTTAACAAAAGCTGCAAAACGGGGCAGCTCAGTCATTAAACCGACTTGAAGCGGGTTGGCGTCTCTGATTTTATTTTATTTACGGCAAGAACGAGGCTTACAGCCGTCGGCACCATGTCTAGATGGGCTTCGGAGGCAAAGAGGGTCTCGTGTTCGAAACAGAACGGATCCAATGAGGATTTCTCCGCAAGCCTTCCTCCCCCCTTCCCCCACAAAGATGGTCGCTCGGGAATGCGATGAATCCACACCAGGATGCGTCACGGGGCTATACAATTCATGCGAATTTTAGTTCCGACGGAAGTGACTATGAAAATTACTGTCGCCTTTTATTCTCATAGAATTTTTGCCGACGTTTCAGAGTATCGTCACCTTCAGTGGTCTCTAAAATTGATGAAATTGATGTGCTTCCGTTCGTAAGTTTAATTTTTGTGATATGCCCTCGTCTGCTTTCCTATGCGTCTTATGGTGATGAGTACTTCCTATGTCCCTGTGAGCAGCTGTTATGAATTATGAACACTAGTGACGAACTTCCCTTGAATTTTATTGATCCCGAAAGTTCATTACTGTGTTCACGCGAGCTCGCCGCTAGTTCCCATTCTGAGCCACATGAATCCAATCCACTTCCATCCTATTTCCATATATACAAGATAGACCTACATTCTCACATTTCTCTCCCGCCAATGCTTAGGTCTTCCAAGAGTACGTTTTCCTTAAGAGTTTCCGACCAAAATTTTGTATGCTTTTTTCTTCTCTACCGTGCGTGCTACATGCTTCAATCATCTCACATTGATTTGATAATTCTAAAATATTCGTTGAGGGACACAAATTATGCTCCTCATTATGCAGTTTCTTCCAGCCACCTGTTAATTTCTCCTCCATTAGGATCAAATATTCTCTTCAGCACCCTGTTCTCCAATATTTTCAGTGACAGACAAAATTTCACACCCATTCAAAGAACCGTCCAAAAATAAAGGAAGACGAAAATGTCAAATCAGGTTCGTCACTGGGCGGAAACTCGAATCGGGGTTCTATTTATCAGAAAGGAATTAAAGACATAATAGATAAGGAAATATGCAATTTTCCGTTCACAGTAAAAGTGTATGGGGTGGTGGTATAGATCCACGGCTTCTTAACCTCGTTAACTTCAATAATTTTTACGCGAAACAGACTAAATGAACTAACACTGCTTGAGGTACCCGAAAGTGAACGTATAAAGGTACAGACATCTCTGTTCTGTTTACCTGCAGCCTTCAGCACATGGTCGCGGGGGCTGGGCCTTCAGGAGGCTGCGCCGTTAGGGGCCGTGCACTGTGACGGCATGGCAGGTCCTGAGTAACAGCATCGGAAACGCCACTGGATGCAAAGCTGAAATTAAGAGACAAAACATAAATTTCTGCATTTAATTGCTCTTACATCTTTACTGTCTGTCAGTTTGTCCTACTCCTGTTCCTCAACTATTGTAACTGGCAGTCTCTAGGTACCAGTATCAACAAAATCTTTTCGTGCATCGCCAGTTGCATGCACCCAACTCAGAATGAATCGAGTCACCCCTTCCTTACAACATAGAGGTTCCTGTTATTTCTATCTCAAGGCTGGGATTTTCCCATCCTTCCCGAGAACCTACGCTCCAGAACTTTCGATTTGGAGTTCGACACCAGACATTCCAGCCTTTAACAGTTGTACGTCTGTTTCAAATTGTAGTACAGTAAACCGATGAATGTCTGGTTAATTAAAACGGTGAAATACATGGATACTACCATTTTATAGTACAATCCGATAATAACAATAGTAATAGCAATGGAGTCGCTATAGCGACTGGCTACTGGCTGGACGGTCAAAGGTTCGGAGTTCGAGTCCCGATAAAGGCAAGATTTTCTTCTCTCCACATCGTCCAGACCGGGTCTGGTGTCTTTATAGTTTATTTTTAAAAACTTTTACATTTTAATCATCTTTTATTTTTCATATTTTTGTGTTCGTAAGTGCGGCCGGTTGTAAGTCGCATAGGTCGTAGTTAGTTAGTTATTGGAGAGGGTGGGTTTCCCCATGCACTTAGACCAGTATTGGTCCATTGTGCTTCCCTCTATGATATTCTACCAGTCTCTATACCCTACCGATATTGGTGCGTACCATCAGTCCCGACCGAGCCAGCGAGCTCGGCCTCTACCGGCTGAGAGGTATCTATAATGCTTCCCCTATCTATCAGAGGCGTTACAGACTACTGTTGGGCGGGAAATGTCCTTGAATTTGGCTCAGTGACCTCCTTTGGAGATATGAGGTTCTTTTACGTGCCGTAAAGCTACGACACGGGACCCACGGCTTAAAGTCCCTCCCGGAGGACTTGTTCCCTGAATTTTTCCGCCCTTAAAAATTCCACGACCTCCGCCGGGTTTGAACCCGCGTACCACGAGTCATGAGGTGGGAACGTTACCTCTAGACTACGGAGGCCGCTCGTATAGGTCGTAAGTCGACGACCAAGTGTATATGAAGTCTCATAGCATATACTGTATGACTACGTACGCGGGTTTCTGGGTAAACTCAGTACTGGAGAGCCTTGTTACATGAAGCGTGTGGCCACAGTATGATGTACTGCGAAGTGTGTGTCTTTCCGCTCTGAGCTTTGATTTATGTGGAGCCTCATACATCCTGAGTGATAATTTATTTGACATGCATTACGTTCTTCACCGCCTGGAATACATCACACTGGGAGCAAAAACGATGACACATGGCGACTGGCGTCTATTCTGAGTGGATCATACTTTCTTCTTGATAAATGACAGCTTACAACAGGAGAGTTAACCTTTAGAAGATTTTCAAATACATAGAAGGGAGCTATTCTTCGTTCTTTATTTGTATGTCACCTGTTGCCGTGTAGTGGCTAGAAGCTGCTTGGTCTTCTACAGGTCCCGTATCGATTCTCGATCCAGGGAATGGAAATGTATACAGTTTTGTTACGAAAACTGTACTTGAAAGGTGACTGGAACACTCAGAATTAGATGGAAGAATAACAATATAACTTACATATCAGGCAGGAGTGTCAAAGACGAGTCACGTAAAGCTTTATCATACGGAAATAAAATATCAGTTTGGACAGCCATTTCATTGGATAGGGGATGGAGTCATACATTTTTAACATTCCTATAGAAAATTACAGGTTTCCTTTTTACAATTTTCAAAAATACAATTTCTCAAATGCTGTTTTTGCGTCGTGAGGTTCCCTTTCCTAATGTTATTGCTATGGTTAAAAAAATAACGTAAAATGAGAAATTATATCTAATAAACATTAAATTATATATAATTTGCATTTTTTTTTACATAATAATTAACTCCATGGAGCAGAGCATTCCGTCAGAGGCTAATATTTGCTTAGCTACTCAAGAAATGCCAAGTCTTTTACATGTATAACTCGAAAGTTCATTAGCATATTCACAATTGCCTGCCACCGGACCTTATACTGAGCCAGATGAATCCATTTCTCTTCCTCAAGACTATCATCCTTAGTCCTTAAACTGGCTTGTCAGCTAGTTCCTTAAACTGTCTGTCAGTTCGTGAAATAAAGATGCGATTAACTTTAATTCCAGTTTACGTAATTTGTGTGATTTTTATCTAGCCTGATAAGAGTAACGTAGACAGCAGTTAGAACCAGAGGAAGCCACGACAGGAAGGGCTTCTTGTAGTGACGTCATGACATAGGTTCCAGTGACTGTGTGGTCACTCCTCTCGGCTTCAGTGCGTGCTACTCCCACTTGCAGCGTGGACGCGCACCATTGCCGCGAGCTGCAAACGGTTGATTACAGTAGGTGTTCGCGTTGCCACGAAATACGCTGTAACGGCTACACTTGTACGTGTGATTTAAGTGTGCTTTTTGTGTGTTTAATGTGTTCGGAGCTTCTTCCATCACTGGGATTATACAAACCTTTGTGCCTCAGAAGGTAGAGAAAGAACAAAACAAGTGGAACAATAATAAAAAAAAACAATATATTTCGAAAGTGTGAGAACAAGTTTATTCCTTTCTGTGCGGGTTATTTCTTCAAGGACACTGGTGATTCAAGTGCATTTATTCGTATTAGATCTTGAAGGCAAGGTCCATAGTTCAGCATCAGCTAACGGATAACAATGGCTTCAACAACAGGGATGAAAGTGGATCCAAGCGACCCCAACGTGAAGCGCCTTGTGTACAACATGTACCGAGGGATGCTGGGGACCTACAACAACAAAGCTAACGATATCATTGCTGCTCTGCCCAAGGAAATGGTGCGAGAAGACGAGGGCATCGCCCGACAGCTGGAGAGCATGATGTGAGTAGGCACCCCCTCAGATCAAAGCTTAGTTCAACACAGGTCACTCAGTACTGATGGATCGGGCATGTCACTCGGAGTTTTGTGGGGAAACCTTGCAAGGCATGGACACTTAATATTATGTTAGGAATATTAGCTGCGAGGATGGAATTGGTTCGGCAACGCGTCCAGTGACAGGCTGTAAACTTTGTAGTTCTGCTACCTTAGTCATTTTATGGCTTGGATGTCAAGGGGGAAAAAAAAGAGCTGTGAAGATGGGATGGGCCATGATCGGATCTATTGAAGGGTTTTGGTGTTAGGGTGCAGGTGCGAGTGGAACTAGCTCAAGATCAGGTCCAATGATGGTGATGAAACTTCCGGTTTCATCGCCTGAAATTTTGTTTTCGTGTTTGTTGTTCCAATGAGGAGCTTCATGACTTGTACTCTTCTCCAAGTATAATTAGAATGATCACGTCTAGGAGGATGAGGTGGGCAGGGCAGGATCCTCTATTTGCATTTCTCCTCTCCCCCATTCATGCTACATTCTCTGCCCAGCTTATTCTCCTAGACTTGATCATTCTAATTACACTTTGAGATGAGTACTAGTTATGAAGCTCTTCATTATGCAGTTTTCTCCTATTTGAATGTCTATCTAAAAACGTAAAGAGGTAGGTTATATTGCCCGATATTGACGAAGATTCAGGTTTTAGATAAATTTTAGCAAGGGCGAAAGATATTACATTTAAAGGAAATCTATACGAAATGTACCAATTGATATGCCGAAAAATTACACACCTAAAATAAAAGAACAATTAAATTTGCGCCTGTATTGAAGAACCGCGTTATGAGGAAGTATACCTATATGAATGCCTAACCTCGGCGAGGTGAGTGGTCAGATTCGCGCTCCACACTCTGTAACCCCCAGGGAAAAATCTCCAGTATCTACTGGACAGGACGTTGCGTCAGGAAGTGGTGACGAAGAAACACAACACTGTTCCTGTCGGCAATCCAACCCATAGCGTGTCTCTTTACCAACTGAGCTCTCCCGGCCAACAAACAACGATTATTGTTGTTTAAGGTCCAGAGCAATCAGAAGTAATGGCTTCTGATTGGAAACATTCTTTCCTACAACAAGACTTTCAAAATAGTGTGATGTGAAGTCAGAACTGGAATTAAAGTTTCTTTTACATGATTTTACACAGCTATCGCAGCGTTGAGATACGAGATACACAAATTTAATATCAAATTTTTGATACCAATTCATATCTCAAACTATGACGAAACATCAGGCATATAGACCGTTATTTATGATTTATTAAACAATGCTATCGCTAGTCCAGGCTGTTCAGGGGCAGCTGACACGATAACTACTGAATAATGAAGATCACGCCCTTGCGGAATGCGATATCGTGTCCCGGTAAGTACTTTGAGCGTTCATTTGTTACAACGGTCAGTTCTGCCAACTTCCGTTCTTCTGATAATTACGATAATGACATCATGTAAAATATTTCCCTTACATTTAACCTTGTGAGCAGAAGGTCACAGTAGGGGTGCGTCAACTGCGGCCCTCGCCAGCTTCTGTTCTGATGCCCGGATTTAGCGTCATAGCTTAGTCTATTTACTTACCCATTTACAGTAAAACTTGGTTATAGCAACATCGGTTTCTGCGACACCTTGTCTATTGCGTCACATATTCAATGGTACGAACTAATTCCTCATAAAGCAACTGTTTTTATACCTTGCTTAGTACGACATGCACAAATGCATCAACCTCGTATGTAACGTCATTTTCATTCCTGAATTTCTCTGATATGGACATTGAACGTAATTTAGAAAGTGTGTATTGGGCAAGTAACAGGAAACAGATGAAGATAACTGATTACTGTACTCGTATCTAGGTACAGTAAGGCACAACAATTGATGTAATCTACTGTAATTTGGTGAGTAGGCCTACCTTTAATATACAGTATTAGTGCGGTGTGTATTGTCAGTGAAAAGCGCTGTAATATGTCTTTGATATTACACATTTGGGCAATTCCACGTTAATGTTACGTTAGTCTGTACTTAACTACGTATTTCACTAAAAAATGCAACATTTTAACTCGGTTTTTGGTAGATTTTTACGTGACTAACATAAGGCTACTGTGGAAGTGCCCATTTCGGTTACAACGACATTCGTTTATAACGACACTATTTTTAGGTCCCTTTGATGACGTTATAACCAAGTTCTACTGTATTTTAAAATAAAATTAATCACAAGGCTAAACTGTAAAGTTTAAAAAGTTAAATTTACACGCCACGTAAGGCTGAGCCCAGCTATTGAAGCGATAAGGTTTTGATATACGAGTATCCATATGCTACTGAGAATGAAAATAAAAATAGCACCCTTCTGATACACGGATTTGTGTACCTTACTGCGCGGGGTTGGACCCCACATGTGGCTGAAATTCGGTTGCCACTTATGGACACACGGCATACACTTAGTTACTATGTTTAAGGTGAGAGCAAGATTCGCCAGTGTTGGTAGTCAGTAGAAAGATTTCGTTCGGCTAAGACCCATAGGCTTGTGAGACGTCGAGGCTCCCATATCTTCTAGATGGCGGTGAGGTTGTCAGCCTTACGCGCCGGCCGCCCTTTACCCCCAGGAAGATTCCTGGCACTCATTTCTGTTAGAGTCGACCCCAGGGCCATAGCGTTGATGGAAGGATCAGGTAAAGAAAAAATCCAATGACATCGGGAATCGAACCCGCGACCTTCCGGCTTGTAGCATAGTGCGTCAACTACCGCGTGCCCCTGGAAATATTTATATATCCTCAATACATTTGAATCATTATCCTTGTAAAATGAGTGTACAAAAACAACCAAAAGGAGACAGGGTGGGTGCAGAGCGGTGAACAAAGAAAGAGAAGAAGAATTTCATCGCCATCTGTGAGCCGATTGTCTAGAATATGTGGGAGCCTCGACGTCTCACAAACCTACGAGCCTCCACGGCCCATTACAGGAATATAATTTATTTTACAGACCCCGTACACAAAGTTTTCAATCTTGGAACACACTTTACTTCGATATGTAAGGCTACTGCGCCACTTTGCCTTCAGATGCAAGAACAAAGAAAGCTAAGGAGTTGGTTCTGAATTTGAGAAAAAGAAACCAATGAGGTGGCCTTACATCTCAAAACAAGTTGCAGGAAGAGGCGACGCGAACAAGTTATTTTAGTGACATGTTACACAACCAAGTAGTGTAAGCGGTCTCCCCAGAAAACAAAGAAGCATTTCAAAATATTGGCCAAAGTGTACACAGAAGAACGTCACGTGAACACAAAAAGCAATTAATGATTTTCTGACAGTGAGATACTGTTCAGATGTTCATGTATTTCTCTATAGAGTTGGATGACACTGCTGACGGAAGTGACGTGAACCAGAGGAGTGAACGTTTAGCTCGAAGTCATTACGGAATTATTTTTCATGGAAGCTGCTAAAGGCACAACAACTGGTGAGGGTTTGTATCAAGAACTGTCATATCTACCGTGGAATAATTTAACCAGTGTGACCACAGATGAATTTCTGAATTTGACTTCCATCAAAAGTATACGGGTAATTTTGATTTTCAGCTATACGACCCACAGGAAAGCCTAGTTTATCTAATATCATAAGTTGAGTTTTTTATGTCTTCACAAATGAGATTCTTTTTTTAAATTATGGGCGACTTTCACGAATTTGCATTCTCAACCATGTCTAAACTTCAGAGAATTTTTTTTGGCCAATTTTGCGAACTATAGAACTGAGTACACCGTTTTCCAATGTCGTTGATTTTGGACATAAGCCATACGTACAAAACGTAATTTCCACACTGGAGTAATATGACCCCTTTCTGGCCCGACAGAACATGTATGCTTCCTCATGCTGCCCTTCAAAGAAAAAGCCTACCCACGTCTGCACTGGACCCTGTCCAATGAAACTTCAATGAGATATGACCTCACGAGCTATAATCACAACCTTGCAATACTCTTCAACATCAATGACTCACTAATGTGAACGGATTCGAAGTCTTGTTTGACTTCTCTTGCTCATTAACGTGCAAACTGATGGAATCACAATATGTTCTCTGTTCACAGTCTTAAATCATGTCATGTTTCTGCTGCAGCTGGCAAAATACGCTTCCAATAGCAGTCGAAGAAACCCCCTTCTTATTCTCCTCGTAGTTCGAGTAGGGCCTAATTGTACTATGTGGGGTTCCTACCTGTACCTTGGTCTTAGGTTGCTCGTACCCGAATGCAAGCGGGCCGCCTCACGCTGTTCTGAGCCTTACCCATCTTTCAGAAATATCTGTAAGCAGTAAAGGCTCAGCTGCCCCTGTGTTTATGCACCACGTCACTCATTTTTAACACCGGTGCTAGACTGAGATAAGTGGTTATCTTTCCGCTCCGGCAGTTTTACCTGAAGGGAAATATTCACTGGATAAGGGATCGAAGGCCGGTCACGGTAGCCGAGCGGTCTAAGGCATGCACTGTCTTCGCTCGCTTGGAAACCGGGATCGTGGGTTCGAATCCCACTCAGGACATAGATGTTTAGTCTGTGTGTGTGCGTTCTTCTGTGTTCGTGTACAGGTAGAGGCCTTGCGACGAGCTGATCACCCGCCCAAGGAGTCCTACCGAATGTGTAAGATCTAGAAAAACCGAAGTGAACGGAGAAGTTCATAGAGGTAGGCCTAGGCCCACTGGCGCTGTAGTGTCACGAAAAAGAAAAGGGGTCGAAGAGAAAAATTATATCGATTTTCGGCTATATAACAAGTTGTCTTGCTGAAGAGCCCATCGGGAAGGCGTATTGTCCTTGCGGTAGTCAGTGAACCAGCACAGCGGCCCACAGCCTTCTGGGTGCTCTGCTTCAGTTCCCCTACCTGACAACAGTCCCAATACACATCTTGAAATAATCATCTGTATCGCAACGGAATGCTCATTATCGCTTCTACCTGCTAAACTCTGCAGTCGGTTCCACTCAAAGCCGTCTCCCCAAACTTCAAGA